GCAATTTCAGTTTCTTTGTCGAAGCAATCCACCATGAATCTTCCGGTGTATAATTTATTGAAAGGGCATAACCGTGTGTCGCCGAATCAATGATTCTTCGCGGGAAATACAAACCACGTTAAATTTAACAATGGAACTACCGAATGGGTCAAATTGTCGAAACATCGAATTGTCTGGGTTTTTGAGTTGATGGAATTGAAAGTTCTGTTATTTGAATGAAGAAATTCGTTGGACAATTTAAGATATGTAATCTATAAAAATTGCAGTTTGTAAATGTATAATTCAGAATGATTCCAAATTATATATGTAATAATTCATCAAGATTTCAATTTATAAATGTATAATTCAGAAAGATTCCAATTTACATATGTAATAATTCATCAAGATTTCAATTTATAAATGTATAATTCAGAAAGATTCCAATTTATAAATGTAATAATTCATCAAAATTCCAGTTTATAAATGTAATAATTCATCAAGATTTCAATTTATAAACGTATAATCCGCAGAAATTTCAATCCATAAACGTGCAATCCACCAAAGTTTCAATTCGACGTTCAAGAACAGGTTCAAACGGAATTCCTCGTATTTTTTCCCCGCCGTTGCTGGTTGAAATAAAACGGACAAGCCGTAAAAACCGGTATACACAGCGCTCTCGCACAAGTGGGAGCCACATCAGCGGCAAAATCTTACGGTTCATCCTCCGTTCGCATGCTTTCAAGTCATCAAACTTTACAACTCTTTCCGAATTCCCTTCGCCACTCTAAATTCTACCGAAACTTCCACTGTTAAAACGAGGGTGCCAGAGAAAATCGATCTCGCACTTATACAGCTTTCCTCCGAAACGTCTGTCCATGACGTTCGGGCGAATAATCACGGAAATACGTTACGACGTACAAGATCCTAATCAAGTACTTCACCAGTGTCCCTCATTACGTATTCAACGACTCAAACTACTAAAAAAACAGGAAACACAATCTGTATCCACCATTAAACATCAAATCGCTGCTTCACAGACTAAATATCCAAGCGAGTCAACTTTTCCATCAATTTCTAAATTCTAATAATATTCTACAATATTCCACAGAAAGATAATAATTATTTCTATAAATATCAAGCAACAGTTTCAATTAAGCTGTCTCCACACTGTCAACCTATCGACGAAATCCTTCAGATTATCGAAATCCATAAATGAACCCTTTGCACTCCAGAAGTTTTTCACCGGAAATATTCAATATTTTCTACTGAGATACAGACGACATTTTCTCAAATTGAATTAAGAAATCTCATTGCTGCATTATAGAAAGTTTGATATTAAATATCAAATTAAATGTCAAATCATTCGGTGACTTAGAGGCGCCTCCGGAGTGCAAAGGGTTAAATATCAGCCACATAGAAATTCGTTCCATCCACCAAAGCAACGTACCGATCAGCACGTCTGGCAAAGTGCGAGCTATCAGTGCTGTCTGTGACATTCAAATGTGAGCCAGCAGAGCACACAGGCGTCGACGTGTTAAATGAAAGAAAAATATTAGGAGAGCTCGCCGGCTCGGAGGTCGCCGGTTACGGGCGGGAGATGACGTCCGCTGGCTGATGGCGGAAGGCGTTCCCGTTCGTGAGTTCGAATGCACTCTAAAGTCTCCAAAGAGTGTCTACGGTGACGATGATGACGACGGAACGAGGGGAAAGGGGCTTGGCCCGATTTTTCTACTGGCGTCCGTCCAGGGACGCGCGACGTCGAACGGCCCACCGGAAGCAAACACGGCCCGGCAAAGTCTCTTCCGCCCCGATAGAACGTCTCCTAACGTTCATGCGTAAATTCCGGCCGGCGGGAGGGGGAAGACACATCCAATTTATTTCTGGGAGCTCATCGAATGGAACAAATTTGCGCTGGCGCTACTCGAATTTACCGCCGGCCGACTCCTAGGCTGATACCTTGCCCGCGGCACTTTTCGAACCGATGGGGAATTCTGTTTTATCGAGTTTTCCGGCGGCTCTCGTTTATTGCAAATGGAATATTGAGACGAGAACAATCTTCGCTCGTAGGCACGACTCAAATGGAAGCGAAGCTTCTGGCTCGGCGATAAAGGGGCCGCGATCGCTGGTTGTCCAGAGTTATACCAGGCCATAATTTTCAAGTACTCGGGACATTAAATAATGTTCCCGGCATTAAAAGGCAGCTTTGTCCTCGGCTACTGTCTATAAACATGGCGTGGAAACGCGACAGCGCTGAAGTCAGGCGGAAGCTTTAACCATGGGCTGAAGCTGTGTAGTTCAACTTAAATTCTAGAGTATCCGTACTCATCGCGGGCTTTCAGCCGAAGCTACAATTAATTTACGTCAAACCCAGGTACCAAACTGCTCACTGAACTCAGAAGACACTGTGTTAAGTCCAGAAAATCGAGGAAATCACTGTTTCTTAATACATTTGTTTCAAACTTCTCGGTTTACTGATTTGATCACGAAAGTATACAAAGTTTTCTTCAAAGGATAGACTCTTCAACAACAGAATATTACTGCTTCCATGGAAATTCCCAAAAATCGACTTCACCGTCAGCTTCCGAGCGGTTCAACCAGCGCGAAAGCAAAAGGAAAGATCGCGCCGTCAAGGTACATATTTTCAAACTCCTCGAACGCGCAGTTTCCGCGAGACTAACGTTTAACGGCGCAACGGGGCGCGGGTCTATCGGTTATTCCCGAGCGACGAGAAATTAATTAAATCCGAGGAAGGCGCGGCCGGCGAGCACGAAGATTCACTCGGCGGACTTTCTTTCTCAAAGCGGAAAAATCGCGGGGGGCGGGAATCTTCGCCGCGAGCGTGCCAGCAGCCAACCCCCCTGACATTGGCATTCCGCCAGGAATTCTGGCGGTGTGTAACGTCGGCCGGCCCATTCTCGGAACAAATAGAGGATGGTAATTCCCGACGTTCGTCGACCTCGAAAGCTCGATTTCATATTCTTCGCGTGTGAAGCTCCCGAGGATCGTCGTCCTCCGTGATCTCGAGCGCGGATCGACGACCGTCGAACACGCCGCCGGCGGTGTTACATCTTCGAGAACCGCTGACTCGATTCGTCCGGCCGCTCGGCCGTCTCGCGTGCCACTTCGAACTCGAACTGCGAAGACACACCGGAAATGCAAGTCGCCGGTGCATCCCATCGACGGCTCGCGCGGTCTGTTTACGCCGTGCGAGAGCTGATTAGCAATTGACTGGTCGTGTTTGAGTTCCGCCGCGTATTCTACTGAACTAATTTAACGCTGGATTTAAGGAGCTCGATTTGACGGAAATTTAAGGGAAATTCAGGATCTTAGACATTGTTTCGTAAGAGTTTCAGTCGATTTTCATTGATGCAATTTGTGCGGATTCAGACAATCCTCTGCTCTTGACGTAATAATTTTTAGTATGTATATGAAGCAATGTTTTCTAAGTGATAGAATAAAGTGTGAATATACGTCCGTAATTCTAGTGATAATCTCTTGCTGCGCGATATTCTTGGGACTGTATTATGTTCGTTTATTCTAGTGTCAGTAGTTTTAGAGGCTGCAGACATATTTTGTTTTGAATATGAAATATCGATGGTATTATCTCGCGCAGTGAATAATTTTGATTTATCTCGAATTAAAATTCAATATTTCAGCTTTGACTGGCTTGTTGTTCCAAGTCGGGTGACACAATTTTCGGGTGAATATTCAATGCTTCCAAGATATCAATTGCTAAATAAAAAAATCGAAACCAGTCATTTTGTACAGTAGTTCTAGTGTTAATGACCTCTTTCAGTTTTCTCTTCCCAAAGTTTGATTTCAAGAGTTTATCGAAAGTAGTAGAACATTGAAACCGAAAAGATCGCGACGGAAACAAGTGGCAGCGATGATGGAATGTAAAGTGAAGCAGCGAATGGTGGCAAAGTGTTAATGATCGACCAGAGTTGGCCTGTCGAGCGTTATACCTCTTCGCGTGTCGTTCGTCTTGCGTTTCCCTTCGGCGACGATTTAATGCGAGCTTCGAACGATTCATTCGACGGGACAGGGGCACAGTGGCGGGTACATAAATTTGTTTATGCGCAAACAAAAGCGAGCCGGATGATCGATACCCGCGGAGCTCGTACGCAACGATTCGGGCGCGTTAATCGCCGTCGGTTTCTTGCCCGCAGCGAAGAAAACTGGGACGCGCAGCTGGCGAAAATTTCTTTTAACGAGCCGAGGCCCGCCTCGATGACGATCCGCCTCGAATCGAATCGGTTTGGCCGTGTGCCCGGCGACTGCGCATGATTGAAATTTATTTTCTGGGATCGTTGTACTTAACCGAATATTGCGAAGATCGGATTAGAGAAATAAAATTGGAGGAGGCTGAAGCCGGGGGTGGTTCCAACAGCTTTTATATTCTATACGCTTTCTCGTTGTTAGGTTTTTCGGTCTACTGAAAATGGTTTATACTTTTGTGTCTCTTATTAATATTATGGTAATATTATTGTTAGGTACAGACCATAGAGAATTAAGTATCTATTACTTAATAGAATTACCGAGCATTTAATACGATTAATATGCAATGTCCTATAAAAATTGTAACAATAGATTATTTTCAGTTTCTTCAGACATTCATTATAGTACTCAAATCAAACTATTTATTTTCAAAATCATTTCGAATATTCAATGCTTCGAAGATATCAATAATTTCCAAACAAAAAAATCGAAACCAGTCATTTTGACTGGTACAGTAATTCTAGTGTTAATTGTGCAACAGAATATAATTTTATTGAACGGAACAAAAACGTTTCGAAGTCTATTCTACGATCGGAATTCATCGATTTTAATTGTATGATGATATTCTATGATCACCGCATTAATCCCGAGAGAACCGTATTTTTCGATCGCATGAACGACCGAGGTCCACGACAGGATTATCGAAGTACAACAGCAGACGTTGCAGTGTAAACAGGGAAGAATTGAAAGGAAGAAAAACATGGTATCGGCGAGGGGATAAAGTCGCAAGGAAAATGGTCTACCTTCCGCCGTAGTAACGAGGACCATGCTTCCAGGATGCTTGTTGACCAACCGGCGAATCAGGTCGATCTGCTCCAGGGCCAGCTGGACCGAGTCGAGATACTGCGAGGAGCAGGGCACGTACGCGGACCAGAACTGTAACAGAGAGAACAAACGAATGTCAGAACGAGCCTTGGGATCATAAAGTAGCACGGTAACACCTCGTTCAACGTTGCAAAGAAATCAAGGGTTGAATGGAACAGCGTTGAACGGGGTCGTCTTGACAACTAAGTAATGAGTGAAACGGAGTGAAGATAAAATATTTCTTGTTACTTTGTTTTATACCGCGTTGAAAACGTATGAAAGTTAGTCAATGAAAAATCGATCATTCTCAGAGACTTCATTTGTAATTACGATAGTATATAAATGTTAACCCTTTGCACTCGAAAGTTGTACAGGAAATATTCAACATTTTCCGACGAGATACAGTCGACATCAAACTAATTTAACGATAATTCACAGATAAATTAAGCAACAAAGCTATTTTATTCAAATATTTCATATAGCAGTACGAAGCCTAATTTAAAATACTAAATATTCAACTATATAGTTTTGCTGTGTCAAATCTCTCGAATGCAAAGGGTTAATTTCCTTTCATTCTGTTTCAATACTTCACATATTGATGTACCATACAAAGTTTAATACAAGACTAATACTGCATCAAATCAAATGATCACCTATCAATTTCAAACGGTTCAATAAACACAAGCTCCGACAATTTCAAAGCAAAAGTCTAGTTCTAATACGTATAACCACATCATCGGTAATGCAATCGAAGAACCATACGTTAACGTCCAAGCAGTCGGCACCCACATAAACCAGACACTCTCGTAAAAGGCGAGAATTCTCCTAGGTAGCGTGACTCGGTGTTTAAAATAAAAATGGCGCGCCTTAATTTACCTCCGCTGATTATCTGAACGCACAGGAATAAACACGGCAGTGGGAAGCGGTAACGAGGATCGGGAGCAATTTCTCATCTCGATCCGCGTCGTCGAACAATAGTTTGGAAATAATTAGGGGAGCATTAAGGGAGCGGCTGGAACGCCGGCGCGGCGCTGCGCGGCGTCGCGAGCCGGTGCTTTGAATTTTAAATGCCGTGGATATCGGCGCTCGTAAATAACCGAGTATTTATCCCCCGGCCGGCTGGCAGCGCGCGCCACCTTAGGAAATATATATTCGGTTACTCCAAGTAAATTAAACCGACGTATCAGATCCCAGGATTAAACGGCCGCCCGTGATATTTCATTCGATTTGATACGAGCGAACGTGAGCCCGCATAAAAATTCCGGCCGCGCCGCGGCGGCGTCTTTATCGTTCTTAACCGGGGAACCGAGCCGTTCGATACGGTTATCCCTGACGAGAACGGCCGGAACTTGGAAATCAAACTCGTCGATTCTTCGTGGCAATGCGCCTGCGATTTGCCTCGACAAGCGCTCCTTACGAGCAATTTTTCAACCCCTTCCCGAGATGCTCCGAGAAGCGTTACGTTGTTCAGTTTCGGTTTCGTAGATTTCGCAGCACTAATTTGTCAAAAGGATCCTCGATACTGAAGGATTCAATTTTGTTGGAAGACTAAAAAATTGTAAGATTTCATGGGACCTGTCAATTTGAGAGACGAATTTTGTAAATATTTAGTAATAGTTTCAGGTGGTTTTGATTGATGTAATCGTGCTAATTGCAATATTCTAGTTTTGAAGCTAGAATTCTCAAGATTTATAGATGAATAGTTTTCTGGGATCAATGGAATAGCGTCCGCGAATCTAGTGTTAGGGTGATTAAAATGAAAGCTTCTAATTGTTATTTGTACCTCTTAGAAAGTGTGCATAATGAAGTTATTAATAGCAGTATTATACGTTGAAATATTTAATTATTCTATGTAGTATTTCGATGGGAGTTAATTACTAAGTTCGTTGACCTCCGCAGATTCTGACGTTTAAGTCGGAATCCGTAATACCGGAAGATCTTACGTTGAAGGCTTCGCGAGCGGGCAAACAGGTGTTAGGATTTCCTCTTTTCTTGGCCGTGTCAAGCAGCTTAATTCACTGGCAACAGTTTTTCCTGCTTCTCTGACCGTCGCTTTGCCTCGATCCTAGGGGCCGACGGCGGCGCGGCGACTTCATTACCTTTCCGTCTGGAATCTTTACCGGCACAATTTGCTTTACGTCGCCGCGGCTTCAAGTACCTGAATGTCGCGCTTTTTGCCCGGGCTAATTGCGACCCGACGATAATTTAATCGTGGTCGCAGCTTCCTTTGAATCCCGTGTCAATTCCTAGGAACGCTTAGTCGACGCCTGCCGTCCCGTTATTTCGCCGCGAAATTACGTAGCAATTTGCTCACTGTCACAGGAATTTATTCCTCATTAACGGATCGGGCACGGGAAACACGGAATTTGTATGCCATCCATCCGGCCGCGTTACATCGTTTTTAATACTCGCGTTAGGTTTCGGTAATTACCGTAGAACCCTATATAACGCGGTTAAAATAGTCCGCGACGCGCGGTTTCACGTTTACGAATTTCACGGGAAATTCACCTTTGGATATTGCAATCTGTGTTCAATTGCTCCCCTATATGCATTAGTTCCTTATGAAAGATATCACTTTTATGGTTGTTTTCTAAGTGATCTTCTAACCCTTAGCACTCCAGGTTGTTTTGTAATATATCGGCAACTAATTTTTATAGTATTCCTACCGAAAATTGGAAATGTTATAACATTTCTTCGATCTTTTATTTTCCTTAATACAAAATTCGGATGTGTGGAAAATCGAATGATCTTAGGGTAGAGTCTTTAAGATTCATTAAAATATTTAATATTATAACTGGTGCTATATTGGAGCCTACAAGTTCTAAGGCTTGATAGTAATAGTAATTATACTCGTTACTTATTACGTTATCAAAATAATTTTGTTTTTACTAGTGCTACTTGCTTCTAGTACATACGTAGAAATGTCAATTTCTCAACTTTCAAATCTTTGAATCTTCAAATCTTCAATTCTCCAGTTCTCCAATTCTTCAATTTTCAAAATTTCATACACTCGATTCATCGCATGTCGAGATTATCAACAATTCTAAACGCACCAACGTCTGTACTCCGATGTTCAGCGCTAAATTACATCTCCCGAATGAAGTTCTGCTCTTATAAAAATCCTCCCGAGCAACGAGACGATCTTCAGTACGCGTCATTAAACGCGCATCCCTTTTCGCCGGAATTTCGAGACTCGCGTCTCCATCTTCCTCCGCGTCTCCTCTTCGCGGCGAGAGGAAGCGGCAACTTCTAGCATACGGCGCGTCTTGGTGTCGGTCTCTCGTTCGATAAGCGTATTCTTTTCGGTGCGCTTTTATCGCGGGGGATACCCAATTCCCCGAAGATCGAGCGTTTTGAATGGAACACACACAGGTTATTTCGAATCGGTCGGAATTCACTTTTGGGATGCAGCCACTGGGAAACGCGGTAGATTGCTCGCCGGCAGGACCGCCTCCCGCGGGCACAATCGAAAACGCTTGTACTATGCGCGCCGGATTTTCGATGCGTTCCTATGCACCTACATTCCTGTTCTTACCGGTTTCTGCATTTTCGCGGTGTGCGGACTGTCCCCCTGCTTTCTCGTGGATACAATTATTGGAATCGCGCGATAAGAATGCATGAAGTGCAGCGAGTTCACTGCCGTTAACGCTCGAATAACGAACTTTTCGGTCGGTCTGTTCCTGCATATAATGCATCAATCTGAGAAATATTGATCGTCATCTCATCAGAAAATGTTGAAATATTTCTAGTAAAAAACTTCGGAGTGCAAAGGGTTAATACTGAACTGTTAATACATCGGCGTGTGAAATATTCAGATAAAAAAGCTCTCTCAATTTACTTGCGATTTTTCTTTGAGTTCATTTCAAAGAATATCGTCTTTGTATAGTTAGAAAACGTTATTCCCAGCGAAATACTTCCGAGTGCAAAGGGTTAATTACCTCATTATTCACTTATGATGAATTAATCTTACACTGTACTATACTGCTTCCTTTCAGAACCGAAAAATACTTACAGAATCCATAGGACATCGGTTCCGAAGAACCGGAACCGACACTGTCGACGAACCGATACCGAATAACACTCACGAGTCAACTTCGGTTCTCCGTAATCAGCCCATCGGGCCGATATTATAACTGTTTTCAGCCGGTGGGGCGATAAGGGACGATGACTCGACAGCTCTGTAACGCGATAGCGTCGTGTCCCCTTTTCCTGCGGGACGCACACGCTGTCCTAACAGGGATAGGCCGTTCCCAGTGCAGGAGGTGGCGTCGCGATCAATGTTCGCTAACCTTTTCGCGACGGATGCCTTCTCCACCCGTTCTGAATTAACCAGGACAGTGATGGATCGTGGCGGGACCAGTTTGTCGGTTCCTGTTCACCCTCGCTGTCTACGTATATTATGCATACATGCATGCATACGATGTCTCCGTGGACGTTGCCGACCAGTCACTCGATGTAAGCAAACCGAATGCCTTCAGGGACGCGTTGACAGCGCCAGACGACTGAGAAAATTACCGGTGCCCGTTGACATCTCTGTAATCACGTGAAACGTCGTCCGCGCTCGCGCTCGATCTTCGGCTTTCTTTATCAATCATTCTTCATTAAAGCTGACGACTCGTAAATTTTGAATCATGTACATTCATGGGAGATGTATTTTTTGAACCATCAAACTTCATTAACTATAAGTAATCGTGTTATATTGTAACATGTAAGAAGTTTCCTTAGTTACTCTATATATTAACTTTGATTTGATTATCCATAGCTCTACCTTTCTCAAGTAATTCGTAATTAACCCTTTGCACTCGAGAATATTTTTCTCAACAAATATTCATTATCTTCTGATGAAACGTCAGTGATATTTTTGACGACTAACATAAAGAAATACCTTGCCAAATTAGTCTAGAAATCTTCATCACGAGTCTCACTCGTCATTGTACCGCAAGGGTCAATAGCCTTCTCCACTATTATTCCCTTCCAACTATCAACAGCCTCCTCCACTAGCAGACTTTACCAATTATTAGCGTTCTCTTCTAACCATATTAATTAAATTCGCTCCTACGGCTGCCGATCGC